TTGTATCAAGATTATCTAGTGAGTTCACCTGATGAATGTTACATGACATGACACGTTACATGTAACATGAGTGACCACAATGACAATCAAACATTCGTGGTGGAGTTAACCCGAGGAAACATATTGTTTAGCATAGTACCAGTGACCACTGCCGAACATTTATAGTGGTGGGGTGTACCCACCAGACATCCCCTTATTCCCTACCACCAGAATTGACCTAGATTAGGTAATGAGTTAACCTGATGAAACTTACTGTGTAAGATGTTCATTGTATAAAGTTATTATGAATGGCCACCGTCAGACAATTCTGATGGTGGGATGTCTGCCAGACACCCCCTTATTCCCTGCCCCAAAAATTGACCTAGATTATACAGTAAGTTAACGTGATGAAAGTAACTATGAAATGTTCGGCATTCTGGTGGGCAAAGTGATAGAAAACCTACACTGATCACCTGTAAAAAGTAGTATTAAAACTGAGCACTGCATGAAGGTTTTTGGAAGCACACTTGAAACATCGAAGCTAGGTTTCGGCCCTCTGTGTTAAATCGAAAATTCACTTTGGCCCTCCGATTGATTTTTATGCCCATCCCTACTCTAAATAATGTGAGTGGATTTTAAGGATAGAAGTGTGGGGTTAATAAGGGTGGGTGGAGAGCCATGAAATTAGGTTTAGACTGGATGGAAAAGGCTGGGTGACTCCACCTCCTCTCCCTCCCCCATTAACTACATCCCTGAATTTGCAAAATGTAGGCCTATCATACAATACTATATAATCTTTTATTATTTTTAGTAGTCAATATTACAACAGTTTAACAATGAGATTCTATACAGGATTGAATATTTATGAATGCCCAATATTCAGTACGAGATTTCCAGTACAAATAAAAATTGTAATGGAACTGGGTTTATTCTATTCGTAGAAGCCTTTTGATGAAGAAAGTGTACCTTTTTAGGAAGGGTTGCCTAAGTTAAAACACACTCGGGCTATATGAAATTAATTATAAGCTTGAATTGTTAATCTTTTATGTCATTTGATTCTCAGTTTTAATATTACTTTTTGCAGGTGATCAGTGTCGGGCCGTAAAATACTAGGGGTTTTCTGTCACTATGCCCACCACAATGCCGAACACTTCACAGTTACTTTCATCACATTAACTTACTAGATAATACTAGATAATCTAGGTTATTTTTTAATAAGGGGGTGTCTGGCAGACACACCCCACCATCAGAATTGTCTGACGG